CCGAAAAAATAAATGCTTACAGCTCTGATTAAAACAAGATTTGTTAATCATAAACGAAGCACAAGAATAAATGTAACAGCAAATGTTTCTCCGAACATACTGACAAGGGAATGGTCAGAAATCGAAGTGGCCATTCCAGACAAGCTGCGTAGCGTTAGATGAAGCATGAAGCGCTGACTCTAAACCTGTCTTCTTTATCTGCTTATCGCTTTTCTGGACGAAGTTATAAGCCATTAAAGACCATTATTTTGCTTAGAAATTATGCGTGAAATTAAAAATTTAGCCGTACAGAGCCTCGCTCGCCTCACTGCTGGGCCAAAACATGCAGCTAGCTTACTTAAAATGTTTGAAGCCAGAAGCCGAGCTAAAAGTGCAACAATGTGCTCAATTTCGCTGTTTTTATGTATGATTTTCTCACAACAAAACCGCTTGTAGCTTCGTCCACAAAAGCGGGAAGCAGATAAGGAAGACAGATTCGAAGTCAGCGTTTCATACTGCATCGAATGATATACAACCTGTATGGTTTGGCCACTTCGACTTCTGATCATTCCCTTGTGAGTTACTATAACGAGTGCTAAGCCACACTAACTAAGCCCATTGTATTCTTTTTGCTTTTCTTTTCCCTCTCTAGAGCATACTAAACAATTTTTCAAAGTTTCTCAAATATAAGAAAGCCACTTGCTCGTTCTACTCTGAAAATGTGTACCAAAAAACCTAAGGTTGAGACTTTTCTTCTAAGGTAAGATGTTAGACGGAACGCCAGGATATCGTACAGACGGTGTTGTTTGTCTCGCAGAAGCTTGAGTAAAATGTGATATGGTCCACTAGTCCTAAATGTTTTAGTGGTCTAAATCGCTGTGGGCATTGTTCGAAGAGGAAAAAGCCGTTTACTTTAATAGAGTCACTAGTACATAATTGCGGAGGCCCCTTCAACATTTTTGAGACCGTCTTTTTTTGACTGCTTCGTTTTGCCTGCACTTCCGATGACCCTCGTGCAAAGCCGCTCTGCAGCCTTTTAACAGTCCGCGAGAAAACTCGCGTTTGGATTCTGCCTCAAGGCTTTGCTTCGAGTGATCCTTGGCAGTGCTCCCATCAGCTCCTTGCATAGGCGATCAGTTATGCAGTTCGATGAGTACAATGCATTGCGCAATTTATATGTTACTGTAAACTTTGAGGTACATGTTCTGTTGTCTTTTACAGCACATTCGCGTTGAAAATTTATGACTGAAGCAGCTCAGAGTTTTTGCCTGTGTGAAAAGAAAGATTTACAGCATGAATCATACCTTTGTACAAAGGCGACCTTTAGCTGCATACCGCAAAAAAAAACATTTGATTGTCGCACTATGTGAATGAAAAGGGAAATATTTTAGTAGATCGTTCGATATTTAAGCATATTTGCTTTCCGTGATTATATTAGGGTGTCCCGAAAGTTCGTTCGCACCATTTTCAAAAAATCATAACTTCTTTGCATCATAACGATTTTGCGCAATTTGAATTTTATCAGAAAGCGAAAAGCATATAGATTCCAACAGTATCCTGGTTACTTTCCAACATGTTCAGATTGCAGAGGTAAAAATGAAAGAACGAAAACATCCGAAACTCGGAATTTTTGAGCAAAAATTCCAAAAAACTAGAAACCGCGCGATAAAATCCAGATAAGTCATTATCATAATTTTTCTAATATTTGATTACTAACTGGGTTAAGTTTGTGCTGATCGAGCTCTTCTTTCAAAAGTTATGATTTTTTGAAAAGATGCCGAAAAATCGATTTCTTAGGAATTCTTAGGGAATTGATTTTTCGGCATTTTTTTCAAAAAATCATAACTTTTGAAAGAAGAGCTCGATCAGCACAAACTTAACTCACTTAGTAATCTAATATTAGGAAAATTATGATAATGGCTTTTCTGGATTTTATCGCGCGGTTTCTAGTTTTTTGGAATTTTTGCTCAAAAATTCCGAGTTTCGGATGTTTTCGTTCTTTCATTTTTACCTCTGCAATCTGAACATGTTGGAAAGTAACCAGGGTACTATTGGAATCTATATGCTTTTCGCTTTCTGATAAAATTCAAATTGCGCAAAATCGTTATGATGCAAAGAAGTTATGATTTTTTGAAAATGGTGCGAACGAACTTTTGGGACAACCTAATATATTGGAGATCACAGCAAAGGCAAGGTGTCAGTCTAAATACCTCCTTAAATCTTTCAAAAGCCGAGATCCTCTGATTTTGTTCCGACTATTTTCTATGTACGTTAGACCCCTTCTTGAATATTGCTCACCACTTTGGTCACCCCAATGCAGGGCCCTTATAGAAGGAATTGAAAAAGTTCAAAAATCATTTACATATAGGATTTTTGCTCGGAAGGGCATGTTTGGGCTATCATATCTTGCCAGGCTAAAGAAACTTTAAACGCTTACTTTAGAAGATAGAAGACTTCTTGCCGACTTTACCTTTATGTACAAGCTTACAACCAATGAGCTTGACCTTGATTTGTAGACATTTTCGAGCAAACATATTGTAGAAACTACACGAGGGGTTATAGTTTCAGAATTCGCATTGAAAAACTTAATTTTGCATCGTATAAGCAATGCTTCATCTGCCGTGTGCAGATGCTCTGGAATGCCTTAGATCCTCAACTGCTCAGGTCATCATCTACTGCTTTCTGCCGTCATTTCATAGAATATCTGAGATCGCGTAATTTGCTAATCTCATCGTAAAAAATGTGAGATGCTCTTGTCATCCTGCAAGTTATCTGTTTTTCCGTTCTCCGTTTGTAATGCTTTGCATCCATAGTTGTATTCGTTTTATTTCATGTTTGAATGGTAATTTTTTTCTGCTCAGTCTATTTAATTTCAGAAAAGATATTACTTGCTTGGAAGATTGTTGACTGAAATAAATGAAATGAGATGAAATAGCTGCTGCAAATATTCATAGAAGCAAATAATTGACTTTTGAGTGCCGATCATCTTGTCATATTAGGTTGCTGCATAAGTTCTGTCCGATTTGAATTATTTGAGTTCAAAATGTCATACTTCTTTCAAAGTCAACTATTTTCCAAAATCTTAGTTTCCTTGTGCTGAGCAATTCCTTGGCTATCAAATACATAATGAAACCTGCGAAAATCCTTGTCAAGAAAAAAGCAAAAACTCAAGCAAGAAACTTTGCAGCGTTTTCTTCAAATCTGTCTTTTTTGACATGGCGATGCTCCCTTATGAGAATTAAGATGCATCTTGTCTAACAGTGGATAGACAGAGAAATTTTCGCAGATTATTTTGTAACATAAAAGAGCCCATAAGGTCTGCGTTGCCGAAAGATATCTTTAACGAAGCAAAAAAGAAGCCACTTTTTGACCTCGCTTCAGCGCATGTGTGCATGCCTGATTACGAATTATGAAAGTTTTACAATTGACGTGGTCACCAAAAAGAAATTGGTGGATGGTCTCTGTCTTGCTTTACCCTAGCACCTTCAACTTTGAAGTCGTCGATTACTTCTATTCACAGAAAGTTATTGCTTGTAAAACTTTTATACAGAAAAAATGTTTGACAATAAATTTTACTAGCAAGACGTTTCTTCATGAAACTAGACTTATGCATATACTAGCCTGTCACACCATTATTCCGCCCTTAAAGCACCAATTAAAAAACTTGACCTGAAGGGCGCATTGTGAAGATTTCCTCGCAAGAACATATTTCTAAGGTGAAAACGTACCTCGGCCAATTGGAGATTTTAGGCTGAAATCTCATTACACTAAGAAATTTATTGAAATTTGATGTGCTTTAGAAAGCAAGAAAAGCACTTTCTATGATTCTAACAATATCGCATTAGAGATGAAATTTTCTCAAAACAGCTGCTTCAAACATAGAGCAAAAAAATTGGGTAGAACTTATGCAGCAGCCTAATAGATTTCTTGAGGTGTCACACTGTAGGTATAGAGTCGGTGTCTCTCATTCAGCTGGAGTAATATCGCGAGCTTGGACAGAGAAATTTACCTCAGAATTTTGACGTCTTGCTATCACAGTGCGAAGATTTTTTCCAGTGCTGGAGTTGATAGGAA